TCTTGGCGCTGAAGGTTGTTGAGTCAGTACTAATTAGGCATAAGTTTGGTATTATTACTATTGTTTTAGAGCCTTGTAGCGCTGTGGTTAAACTGCTGTACTGCAGCCAAAACTGTGCTCACAACCTGGGGTTCAATCCCAGGTAGCTGGCTCAAGGTTGACTCAGCCTTCTATCCTTCCAAGGTCAGCAAAATAAGTATCCAGCTTCCTGGGGGGGGGGCAATGTATAGCCTGCACAATTAAATTGTAAACTGCCCAGAGAGTGCTTGAAGCACTATAGGGCAGTATATAAGCAGCATGCTTTGCTTAGCTTTATAGGCTGCCTTTCTCCTTACAAGGGGACCCAAAGCAGCTCACAATATTAAAAGAAGAGAATTAAAAATATAACTTAAACATTAAAAACAATTAAACTGTACACTAATTAAAATACAACTGATTAAAAGCAGGTAAACATTAAAAACTACCTTAACTTTAAAATGGCACTATGCTGAGATCTGCTGCAAAGTTCTCCTTCCAACACTGAGCCCAAGCAAACCACTTATTCAGGACCAATTGACACCTCCATGGATTGTGGTAGGGGTTCAGTTTGGGCAGATGACTGACTGGGGGCTTGAGCAGTCAATGTTGGTGGCACTGGAGGAGAAGCCTGAGTTGATGCCTGGGGCTCTGCTGTAGCAGGAGCATGTTCTTCCAGGTTCTCTGTTTTCTTTTTTGACTGGTCCTCTTTGCGTTTGGCCAAGTTCTTTGGTAGTGCTTGTGCAGCAAGAGTGGTATCATCTCGACTCTGGGCAGGATCCCTCAGTATCAATTTGTCAATGCCTCTGAATATCAAAGGGATCACATCACAACATATTGCAGCCACCATCAGTAAGTCTTTCAATGGGGTTCTGCAAATTGGGCTCAAAGGTTGCTGGGAGGCTCAGTTAGCAGCCTGAAGGGATTGCTCCCTGAGGAAGAGTTCTAGTTTAGAAACTCTACTGCAGAAGCCTATTTTGCTGAATCCTCAGCAAATACAATGGTACCTCGATTTACTAACTTAATCCGTATTGGATTGGAGTGGTGTTTGAACGTCGAAAAGTTTGTAAGTTGAGGCAAGATTTCCCATAGGAATGCATTGAAAACCATTTAATCCATTCAAACTGTTTTTTGTTCATATGTTGAGGCGCTGTTCATAGGTAGAGGCATTAATTCCCAAAGGAACTAATGCAAAGCCGGTTAATCCGTACTCTACCACTAGGGGGAGAATTTTTTTTCTTCTTTTGACCAAAGATGAACTTAGGTCAAAAAAAAGGCCAGGAAAGTTTTTTTTCCTGTTCATAAGTTGAGGCTCAGTTCACAAGTTGAAGCAACATTTTGCGAAGCTGTTCGTAACTTGGAACGTTTGCAAGTGGAGACGTTCGTAAGTCGAAGTACCACTGTAGGGCACTGAGTTGTCTTATGGCCCTCTCCCAAGCAACAGATGCACTTACTGTGGCTGTCAGCATGGGAGATCCTCCTGCTGTAGCCAGGCTCACTGGGGCCATAAAAGACCTGAGGAAGAGTGGGGTAGAGAAGAAACAAAACCCAGCTTTCGGGGGGGGGGATTAGATAAAGTACAGAAGAGAACAAATGAGGAGAAAGAGAAGAAAACTAATTACCACAAGGTGAATCTGCTTTCATCTGAGAAACTCCTAGGTGTTGCTCTCATGGTGGGAAGAAAGGAACTGAGGAGGTGGTCATGCACACCAATACAAGGACAGGGGAGACAGTAGAGAAAAAGAGATGTTTTTACTCTAAAAGCTTCCAGATGGGATCTTGCACAGGCAGTCTGGCCACATGTGTGAATCACAGAGACCATGATAATGAAGAAAATGACTCCTGTTCCTTTGTTCCTCTTTTTGAAGCTATTATACTAGTTAGCAATACCTGAATTCCAAAACTAAGTACAAATTTGCCATCTGAGCTTGTAATGTATTTTTACTCTGCTCTTCCCCCTAAAGATCCCAGAATGATGTTTACAGCTCTCCCACACATAGCCATCATCACAACCCTATGAAGAACTTAGGCTGCAAGATAATGACTGGTCCACAATTACCAAAGGAATTTCATAGCTAAGAGAGAAATTTAAGTAAATGCCTTCTTTATTAGTTTCAGTCCTCTAGATATTTCCTTGAAGGACTGCATAAATTATTATATGAGGTACTTGTCAGTCTTAGAACCGATGAGATTAGGTAGCCAAAGGGGTACTTTTTAGGACAACCTGCAGAATTCACTCCATGAAGGGGCTTACCATTGCCAACATTCAGAAATGCTAAGAACTAAAGTCCAACAACAGCAAGAAGGCTGCATTTTGTCCATGTGATATGCAGTAAATCACTCTTGTGATTGCATCTGTTCTTCTGTATCTTATGTGTGTATTGCTGTTTTCCCTACTGCTATCAAAAACCATACTTATTTATTTATTTATTGGATTTCTATCCTGCCCATCTAGACCAAAGGTCTACTCCATATGGTCCTTGCATATCAGTAACAGTATTTATTTATTTGATTAGTCATTTCAACCATATCAAAAAACATGCAAATCAAACAGATCCAAAGGGTCTTTGTATACAATCCAAAGACAAGGGCAGGTGATACATTTATCAGACCACCACCACTACCCAAAAACCCATGCACACACACAAATACAAGCTAACTTTTTATTATACAGGTCTTTATCAGACTGGGCACCACAGTTGAGAATGGTGAAGAAAGCACATAAAAGTTTCAAAAATCATAGCCAGATGTGTGAGCAAGACTTTCCTTCTTAAAGGAAGATTCAAAATTGGGGCCGAAAATTCAGTATTGTTTCAAATTGAAATTTTGATAGTATGGAATGGAATGTTTCCCTGAAAATTATTAAGCGTTGTCTTGACTGGCAAACCCTTATCCAATAAATGTGAGAGACATTTCATTCCACATTTTTTCATCTTCAAATTCAAGGTGGTAAAGAGAAAAACTTTGTTGTTCCATACTTGATCATGCATCACTATGTCAGAGCTGCTGAGGTCAGCATTGCTGGTTAGACATGGTACTCCTGCATTAGTAAACACGTAGGATCAAAGCCTAGGACATAAGCAAATTAGATTCTTGGTTGTACCCCTCTCTTTAACTCTTCTTGAACGTTTCCTCTAAACTGCATGCATCCATGTGTGCATAACATTGTATCAACCCCATGCAGCCAGACTGATGTTGCCGCCGATTTGCTTCTGGTTGCAGGCAGAAACCTGCAGGAGGGGAGCTTTGCACAGCACTAGTATGAATGAGAGGGAATGTTGCTCTTCTCCCTTAAAGTTGCTAGTAAATCTGAAAAATGATCATCTGTCCTACTGAGGTTGGACACCTGTGACACGATGAAAATGCACCCTGAGAACAAAAGCAAAGCGGTAGGAAGACTGAAAGAACTAAAAAATTTCCAGAACGATACAGACAAGTCTTGATAATTTGAGCCGCTCTGGAAAGATGGGGAACCAACAGCTGACAGCATTTTAAAGACAAAGAAGCAACAATTTCCATTTGTATTTAAAAAATAAAACAAACTGTTGGGAAAACAAAAACCATATTACAATACAGTGATGCCTTGCAAGACGAAAATACTTCATTCTGCAAACCGTTTCGTATTGCGAAAATTTCGTCTTGTGAAGCACGGTTTCCCATAGGAATGCACTGAAATTTAATTAATGTGTTCCTATTCATCTTGCGAAGCATGGCCAGTGAAAAATTTGTCTTGCGAGTCACCCAGAAAATCGCAAACCACTTTCGTCTTGCGAGTTTTTCGTTGTGTGAGGCATTCGTCTTGTGAGGCATCACTGTAATGGAAACTATTGTTAGTATTTGGCAGTGTAATACACAGCAGAAGGCCAGCGTACTGTAATGACAGAGTGTTAGACTACGACACAAGAGGCCCTGTTTCACATTCCAACCCAGCTATGGAAACTCACTAGGAGTCTAGCAATGGTAAGTAACTCCCTGAACATCTCACATCTCAAAGAATTATTAAGGTCACCAAAAACTGAAAGTGACTTGACAGCACATAACAATAATACACAATAAAACTGTTTCCGCTCTTTAATTCTCCTGTAAAGACTGCTTTCTACTTGTATTTCTCCAACAGACAATGAAAACATATGCTGTAGTAAGACATTAAGTCTTCACGTGCAACAAAACTTTTAATAACTCTATAGATCATATTAAACCTGCCATTTTTATCCTGAGTATCTCTCCACAAATGCTTAATCCCATTTCATACCCAGAAAAAATGAAAGTGGTCCGTGTGTGAAAAGACTTACAATGCCAGAAATTACGCAGCCATAACCTTTTAATTTTTTTAAGCACAAGGTAATGCCATTTCCCCCAGTTGTTTCTCTTCAGGGGCCATTCTGCTAAAGAATTAAATACAAGTTAGTCCTCATCTGGTCTACATTTGGTCTATAGCTGAATTCTATCACATAACATTTTAAGAGTAAATCCACTTTCTCTACAAAATACTTCCAAGTTAACAAATATGGACAAAGAATTCTTTTTCTCATACATTTACAAAAATAAATGTATAATATCTCTTATTTGAAAATACTAGGACATAGGAGCCCGATTCCTTCCATTTTATCACAGCTCTTGAGACAAAGTTTGTGTCCCACAAAGGCATCTTCAAATGTTCACATTGTAATCTGGTCTATGGATTTTATGAAAATTCTGTGTCTTCTGGCTTAATCATTATATATTGCTACAAGTAATGCAACACAGGAGGTCTTTTTAAGAATCACTATCAATTCAGAAGTCCAAATTTTTTTCCAACAGATTCCACCTCTTTGCAGCTGTCCCCCCCAGAATGTTCTAGATACGTATTGTCATCAGTGTTTCATTACACAATGTCTCTAATGCATATGAAGAAGGGGGATAAGATTCTTTACTTCTCGTATATTTTAGAAAATTCCCCTTCTTCAGATTCACCAGTTGCTAACCTCATATATAAAATGGCTCACCGAAACTCTATCAGGCTCGCCTTCCAATGAAGCAGTCTCCATGCTGGAACAGATCTTGTCTTTTACTTAGAGTTCTTCCATTCTGCAATCTATTAAAAAAAACAACACACACATACACACTATGAGTTATTTGTTACAGACAATATAATGCAGTCAAACTACTGAAGAGTAAATGCTACACATTATTCACTACCAATACATATGCTTTCTGAAAATGTTACTTTTCCCATATTTATAGGAAATACACTATTGGCAGGTTAGCACCCATCCCAAAAGGAGATGCACACATTTCATAAAACTGACTGCTATTCAGTATTAAATAATTATAGTTAAATAAGAGGGACAATATATTGTAACCATATCAGCTGTCTAGAAAAATCTATTTCTTCCAGCTAAGAGTACTGCAGCTAAGCATGGAAGAAACAGGGATATATGACGGCATAGCCCCTACTACTCAGTCTCACAGCTTTCATCCCACAAGACCTACCTCCATTAGATCACTGCAAGCAAATCATCTTAGAACTGCAGAAAGGACCTTATGGATCAAGTCCAGACCATGTCAAGGTGGCATAGTGGGGAATCGAACTCCCAACTTCTGGCTTCACAGACAGCTCCCTAAAACACTGAGCTATTCAGCATCTCAGTGCTTCACACTGCTTAATCACTTTTTAATCTCCTGCCCAGCCAATGTCTATCTATAGTTTAATATTATGCCCAAACTGGGATCCTTGGTTTGTTATTCTCTTGATAACAGAGAATAATCAAGTAATGGGTGTTCTTGGCTTAGAATACTGGCTTGTTAGAAGAATAACACCCAGTATATCATAATATCATGATATAAGAACAATGATCTGACTGTCTCATTTCAACCATGAATGAAACAAGAATGATTATTTCTTTCTACATAGCAATATAGAAAGGAATTGGTTTCACAGAAACTGTTTAAGCTTTGAGATCCAAGTACTGTATTAGGATGGTAAAATAAACACATCACAGAAAACATTTCTGCCACAATTCCTCTAAACACAAATGCCCTATTTACATATAAATCAAAACATTATTCATATCCATGTATCTAAAAAATGACAAAAGAAGCTGAATAAACTATTATAGCTATTTCCTTATACCAGGTGGCTCCCAGATATCTTGCATGCTAATCTCATCAATCTCCCTCAGCACAACCAATATCATGAATGATGAGATTACATTCAAAACTTTTCAAAAGTAACAAGTTAAAGGACGCTGCTCTACGCATCCAGTAACAGCAAACTCTTATGCAGTAAACTGTCATTTATGGTCTTTTAAACAGGTTGATGGAATTGTCTGTAGAGACCTTATTTACTGTTTCTACTGCAGTAACTATGTCAGTCTGTTGCAAGAAAGTATCTTATAACAACTTTAACAAGTTCTATTTTGAATGACATTTTGTGGTTATGTACAAGACAGCTCATGCTTACTATCACTGTTAATCTTAAAGGTGTGCAAGACTATTTATTTATTGCTGTACTAATTTATACAGAGACACCAGGATACTCTGCACATCTGCCTTTGAAAACAAACGTAACACTATCTTTTATATATAGATGATTTTCATTAATTTTCACAGAGTTTGCATTTATTTTCATACAGTGTCGCTTGCTCTACACATCCTGGAGATTCATAAAATCCCAAACAACAAAGACACCAGGTCTGACAAACTTCTACCAATCTCTATGCTTTCTATGATGTTCTTTGTTAATCAAAATGCCAAACACAACATAGTCTGCTGTCCTTTACATGCTTTTATTTCTATCAATACTATCGTGTTTCCCCAAAGATAAGACAGGGTCTTATATTAATTTTTGTTCCAAAAAAAGCATTATGGCTCATTTTCAGGGGGTGTTTTATTTTTTTCATGTACAACAGTCTACATTTATTCAAATAGAGTCATGTCATCTTCTGGTTGCTGTACAGTGGTGCACAATGGTGGACGGTGGGGTTTCACTTAACTAGGGCTTATTTTTGGGGTAGGGCTTATATTATGAGCATCCTGAAAAATCATACTAGGACTTATTTTCAGGTTAGGTCTTATTTTAGGGAAAACACAGTATGAATGGCCCATAACTTAGTGGAAGAGCTGCCAATCCACCACTTCAGAGGGAGGCCTTCCTAGACCACAGACCTGTTCCAATGAGCAAGGTAAAATGTTCTCATCCTCAAAAATAAATCAAAATTGAATAAAGTTTAAAACAAGGACTCAAGTATATATGAAAATACTAATACTAATACTAATACTAACAACAACAACAACAGCAATAAAACATCACCACCAACATCAACAATAATAACCAACAACAATAGTGGTGGAAATACAATCAAAGCCATAAATACATGGGGAGTCCCAGTAGTTAGATACCTAGATAAAACATTAGATTGGACACAAAGTAAATTAGAAAAACTGGAGTGAAAAAAATGGAAATTAATGAATATGCATTGTGCAGTATCCAAAAAGTGATGTGGACAGGTTCTATTTAATGACAAAGGTCATGGATTACTACAAATACAACAGGTTGTACAGGAAGAAAAAGGAATGTAAATAATGATATTAATTACTTCAGGCAGTGAAAATGGAAAACAGCTTGAAAATAACTGAAATGAAGGCTGAATTTAGGAAACAACAATTGGAAATTAAATAGCTGGAAAAATAAACTACTGCATTGACAATATCTGAGAAATATTGATGGGAAACATAATAACTTTACTTGGGCATCTCTAAAACTGGAGACCATCAAGAAACTGAAAGCTTAATCTTTGCTGCAGAAGAACAAACACTCCAAACTAATGTCATGAAAGCTAAAATTCAAAGAATTGGTGTAAACAGCAAATGTCAACTCTGCCAAGAAAAAGATAACACCATGTCACACCTCATCTCTGAGTGTTCAAAGACTGCACAGACAAGGCTAGACATGACAGAGTTGCAAAATTAATACATAGGTCATTTTATAAAAAAAATATAATCTGCCAGCATCCAAGAATCTGTGGGAACATCAGGTAAAGAAAATGTCAGGAAACAACCAAGTTAAGATATTTTGGGGGAAAATATCAAGAAATTTCACACAGTATTATAAGCAGTTGCAGATCTCAGAAATGACATCATCAGCACTTTTAAAAAATGGCAATACAGTATTTGCAAAAGCATAATACTGTGTCAATATTTAACAGATACTTGTTTTTTTGTGTAAAACTTGTATCTGTTGTATAATACCAGTCAATATTTTTATAATTTTGATTTACTGTATCTGATATTTTTGATTAACAACAGCAACAATAATACAGTACATCTCTTTCATGCCATTTCATTTTTTAAAAAATGTTAAACTATTGAAAATACTGTAAAGTCATTTATATATTAGGCTGCATAAAGAGATGAGTTACTACTTGTTGTATGTCTCACCAAGGCAAGGAGCAAGAATACCAGGTTGCTGAATAGCTATGTGGGGAAATTGTTGTAAGCAAAACATTCCTCAAAAAGGCAACTCATAAGTCATTAAAGGCAGTTTTTCATATATGTGCCATTCACTCTTGAAATACGAATTCTAGAAGGTTCAGTGCCCAATCAATATCAATTGAAGAGAAAATAATTTCCAAGCCCATAAAAACTATCACTAGCTCAAATGAGTTAGTGGTGAATAGCTCAACATAAAGGAAACAAATACCTGTACAGTAGTGAACTTGTCATCTCATTACAGCCCAACTAAATAGCAGGTTGTTTCCTTTCCCCCAGCTGATAAACAAAGAACTACAGATCACTCTTACAGTCTAACCCAGTATGCAGAGTCATACAGTCTAACCCAGTATGCGGTCATTTTACTTCAGTTAAATATGGAGTATCGCCCAAAATATTTAGGTTGGTCTAATCATACTTCAGAGTTCAGCACAAACACTACTTCTTTTGGCATTTATCAAAAGAGACATTTTGCAACAGTATTTACAACAGTATTTCTGCTCTTGAGCAGAAGACACAAGAGCCATTTCATTAACTAATTACAGGTAACCATCAGGTTAAAAAAACTAACTGGCCATTATTGGAAACAAATGTTCATGGAATGCTCAGGAGGTAATGAATAATGGACAACCTAATATCTACCCTGGTGTATGTGTTGTTTCTGAGCATGAAGCCCTTAAGACAAGTTATTCAGCTTCCTGTTGTTGTTAAGTGCCATTAAGTCACCTCTGACTTACAACAACCCTATGAATGAGAGATCTCCAAAATGCCCTGTCCTCAACTGTCCTCTTCAGCTCTTGTAAACTCAGTCTCAACTTCCTAACAGTGCAGTATTTCTTTCTCTGAGGGCATGAAATTCTCTCACAACTGAACCTGGAGCCTCTTGCATAGAAACAAGAATTTTGCCTCTAGGACTTTGCTTAAGCAATCTGACTATATTTTGGACAAATTCAAAGAATGTTAATAATCTATTATCTGTCTTGTTCCTGAAAATACGTAGCTGTGGGCAAAGGACTGAGACACTCATAAACCTTACAGTTTCTTCCTAGCATAAACTCAGTGCCATGGACAAATAAAATGCTGCACTATTCCTGCTGCAATTCTAATTATGGCAAAAGTATTAAGAGCAACTCTGCCTAGCCAAAAACCCAAGAATATCTAACCTGGTATTTTATTCCACTAGTACCACTCCACATGCCTACAGGGACACCATAAACAAAGCATGAATTCAACAGCATCCTCTCAGTCATACTTCCAAACAACAAAGAATATTAACCTTTTATATTGCAGCTAATGTACAGCGATTATGAGCAGTAATCACTGAAGACAAAGAAATCCTGAGAAGATTGCAGGACCACATCCTTCCCTTCCTCTCCCCATAAAAGAGGATCCCTTATCTTTACCAAACATTACAAGAGCACCAATGGTATTAATTAGGATTCCTTCTTAGTAAGAATATGATCCAATTGTCAAAATATTGTAAGTGTCCATGATGGTAAAATAATTGACAGTCTAAAATAGACCTCAGTCAGCTTAACATTTTAATTCCACATTTCAATTTATTTTTAAAAAATCTAGGGCATGCTATAGTTCAGTGGGCCCCAA